CTGTTAATTTAAAAAAACAAGCTGAAACTTTTTCTAAATCCTGTCAGGAAGATGAAGACTTAAACTTTTGAATATCCTGTGAAGAACAGGAGGATTAAAGAAAACACTGATTTTGGAGGGATAACTGGCATAATACGAGCCGAAGCATCTTTTGACTGCACCTATTAAGTAGATGCTGACACAAGAAAGTAATAAACTAGAAATGAATGTAAAACTTTATCTTTAGAAAATCCAGCGACAACTCAGCTCATATACGATCTAACAAATTTTCTATTGAAGCTATTTTTTTTTACCAAGTCTATGATTGCACATCCGCATCTTTAGGAAAACTATGCATGCATAGATTAACTTAAGGAACAACGAAATATATAAGCTGCATGAATAAAATAAGAAAAAGGAGAGGAGCAGTTGAGGAAGGATGCTCTAAAAGGTACAGTGATTATGGCAGTGAAGAATGATTAGATTTAGAAAGGAGATGAGATCAAACTACTGTTCAGTGGTTCTTCGGATAGCTGATTAAACAAATAGAAGAAGCCATGCTAGTTCAATAAAAGATAGGAAAATTTGTGAGAGGCATCACATAAATAGGGGTACTGAGATGGGCAAGGAAATCTATCCAAAAAAATCATCAGAAGTGGGGTAAAATGGAAGAAGATCATGAACTGTAGAAGCTTGAAGAGTCAGCATATTACCTAGCCAGATAAAAAGAATTTAAACAGTTCGAATGATAGTTGCTCCAAATTTTTGATTCTTTGGGCATAAGTTGGATTTATTTTTTATCCTTTTCCGTTTCACGAGAAAAAAAAAAGATGAAATGCATAGAATTACAATAAGATAGGTTGAAAGGGAGGAGTGCTGCTACGGTAATATTATGCTGGAGTCATGTTATAACAAAATATTACTATATAGGAGTGAATATTGGGGATGCAAAAGCCTCCAAAGAAGTATATGCAAGGTTAGATGATCTGTTTTTTTGTAGGAAAAATATCTTATTACCAAGTAGATTGCCAGTTCCCTTCCAGTTCAGTTCATGCAATTCTTAAATTGAAGACTTCTTGTCCTCTACCAACTCCTTATAACTCTAGTAGACAAATATCTTATACAAGAAAAAGTATATGCATACATGTTTAGAGATGACCAAAACCTAAATTCATGTAGGATTTGTTGTGGAGAAGGGAAAAAAGAAATTTTATATATATATATATGTCAAGATATGAACAGAACTAAACACAGTAGAATTTATTGCCTGATCATGCAAAATTATTTTCAAGCTTTTCGTGTAAACATATTATTTTCGCAGCTTCTCTTATGAAACTGTAGCAACTGTTTTTCTACCTTCGGGATCAGATTGTTACGTTTTTTTCCTCTGTAAGATGGGAAAAATGATATTTATGACACTCATGATACTTTAATGGAACCAAGAATCAAAACACATGCCTTCAGGTCACCTGATGGGTAATTGGTTTGAAACCAGTACTATAAGCTCCATTCGGGCTGCCAAGAAAAGAAGGAAAAGAATTACCATTTGCCTAAATTATGTTACTTAATCATACAAAAAATTTCAGGCCCCAATATAAAATCTAGAAGAAGCACAAAGCTGTAATACCAAATCCCCTACTCCATCTTTAAACTCATTCAAGACGTACCACCCTATAGAAACAGGCCAAGGGTGCAGGCAATACTCAAAACAAAGTATATAAAAAAAAAATTCTGTTTCACAATACCTTCATGCATTTTTTCGAACAGCATATCTAGCTTGCACTTTCAAATTTAATCCTCACTTCATGCAAATTAGCTAAATGCTCAATACCAGGAAAATCGGCTTTTAATATTGATAGCAATCTGGACGTGTTTCTCTTTTTGTTTTTCTCTTTAATACACCCAGATTTGAGTAATTCAGATACGATGATAACCAAGAGAGCGTAATATTTGTTACATAGCTCCTAAAAAGAATTTCTCTCAGGGTGTTCTTTTTACTAGTCTCGCCTACAACGGATTCAATAGCAGTGGATCTTGTGTTGACCGCGTCACGTTATGAAAATTAGAGCCTGTGAACCTAAGCAGGACATCATATTGACAAAGATAATCAATTTAAAGTTTTACTGCAGCAAATAGCATACAAACTAAAAATTGAGAACTTTCTTCTGTTTACAGCAAAATGTGTCTCTTTTTTAGGAAATGTAACTCGGATAGCATAAAAGTCAAACATTGACAACTTTATTTTCTTTAAAGTAAATGTGTTCCCTTTTTTAGAAATGTAACTCAGATACCAACTTCAGAGAATGATCACAAACGTTTAAGCACATTGAGCCTGCTCATCTAATTTTAAACCAACCTCCTGTAGTCCGGAATTCCACTCTCTGTGCTCATGCCAGCTCCCGTCAATACAACAAGCTTGGTACTACAAAAACAATGGAATAAAACTTGTCAGCAATTGATGCCATGATGTAGTGAACATTATCTTCTGTAGAAGAGAACACATAAGAATGGCAGCCCGGTGCATAAAGCATCTTGCGTTTACGTAGGGTCCGGAGAAGGACCTCACCCTAAGGGGTGTAAAGCAGGCAGCCTATCCTGATGGCTGATTCCACAAAACACATAAGAAAGCGCTTTAAATCAAAGGTGCAGCTAAAGTACAATTCCTACCTCCTGTCAAAGAATTCATACAAACTGTCCACATCTTTCATGCTAGGGGGATCCGAATAAGGAACCATCTGCTTGTGACTCAAAAAATTTGATGGCGCATTATCTTTACAATCTGATGAGATCTTTGGAAATGTTATTCTTGCTGTTGTTTGCACAAACTTAACATATCCCTCAAAGGGAGTGGACTTTTTTACTCCACTAAACCATTTACCCATTGGGATATTCAAATGATTAGCTGTAAACAAGAAAAAAAAATGTTCGCAAATCAGCGCCAGCTAATCAAGTACAATATCTTACAAACTTGCTATTCATGATAACCGACTTACCTGCCAAATCTAAGGCCAGAAAATCTCTTTTATTCTTTAAGCCCTGCCCATTCAGTTCACACACACCATAATTTTATAAGAAAACAACAACAACAACGCCTCAATCCCAAACAAGTTTGGGTCAGCTATATGTATCCTCACTAACCACGTTACTACAGTTAAACTCATCTCGTTACAATACTATGCAAAAAAACAAATATAAACTAATAGAATTTTGGTATAATTATAAATCACTGAAAGGCAATAATTTTATCAGTATCACCAAAAACTTATCATCTTAAAGGCAATCACAATATATTATATTGGGTCCTAGCATTTGAATAGATAATTCTTCAAAAAACAAAAAATCTAAAACGTGTGCGCGTTTTGCATAATAAAATCAACAAAGTCAACGATCAGATAAAATTAGCTACTGATATTCACAAAACTGTGTTGCAATTTCAGCATCGTCAAGGATAATTGAAATTACCAGAAAATAAGATAAACATAAATTTCACGAAAATGACATAGAGATTTGGGTATGAAGATTACAATAATAATAACTTACAGAAAAAGAGGGTCGGCAACAAAGTCGTAGAGACATGGACATGGCCATTTCTGGACTACGGTTTCTCCAGGTTTAATTTGAAATGTGCTCTTCTCAATTCCCTTTTCTTAAACGACGTATGATTATTGAATGTATCGTCTTCCACGTCGCACAATTTTCCACCGCTCAGAACTGAAATTTAAGCAAGTTTTGCAATTGCTTCTTTCGCATACCAAATTAGCTTTTGGCCACATAACAATTGTAAAATTACAGAGGAAGAATTTTAAATTAACAATGGTATTGAAAATTAAATATGAATATTATGTGCATTAGTTTTGCACCTGGAATTTAAGAAATAAGTACTAAAAAAGGTCTATAATATGTAAAAATGGTAGTTAAATTTTGTGGTCTTGAGAATTAAAAGTTTTTACCATTCAATTTTAATTTGTTTGTATGGTAATATATCTCACAATTACAACAAAAAAAAAAAACTTTTTAATTCTCAAGACCACAAGATTTAGAAAATTAAAAAAAACTATTAAATATAAAACATAATTTTTCTTACGATTACAAAGAAAAATAAGACATAGAAATAAATGAAGAAAATAATATTTTTGTCGCTATAGGTGTTACTCCCGGCCCATTTTATGCATGTTAGACTTGAAGTTTCTTTTTGTAAATTATTAAAAATAATTGTACTTTTTAGTGTAATTTTTAAATATTTTATTTCATTTAAAAAATTGAAGGTTAAATTGAAATTAAAATTGATATTACCATACAAACAAATTAAAATTGAAACAGCCTCTGCCACTCGGGGTAAGGGTAAGGTCTGCATACATATTACCCTCCTCAGACCCACCTGTGGAATTATAGTGGTATGTTGTTGTTGTTGTTGTTGAAGGTTAAAATCAAACTGATTTATTTTGTATTTTGACCTTTATATTTAGAATTCACTTACATAAATTGAAATAAGAAGCAAAGTCCTAACTTAAATTCTTTGGGTTCAACCTTTAAAGAATTTATCATTGAACCTATTGTATTTTTAAAATTAAGAATTCATATTTATTATTTATTGTAATTTTAGTAAATTTTTGCACACAAATTTATGATCAACATGGAAAGTTATGTATGTAGTTGAACGCAGTATCAAAGTAAATTAGGAATAAAGAGTAAATTCTTTTTACATTTTCTTTTTGTTTAAAATCTTCGTTTAGCTAATATTTTTTCACTGCCAAACATCCTATAATAATGTACTGATTTAGACTATCGAATCTCATTGTGTCTCAACACAAGAGTAATTCTACCAGTCAAACAGTTATTTTTCTTAAATTATTTTATAAGCATAAACGGTAAATTGTTCAATTTCTTAAATAAATAAATAATGATTTGGGTTACTTTTTATATAGTTTTTAAATATATAGATATCACTTAAATTAAAAGAATTACCGCCAGAAAAAAATATCCTAACCATAACTGCCTCTAAAAAAATAAGATGACCCTTCCCTTCATCTTCTCTCATTATATTATTATTAAGTTATACAATGTCTGCCTTTAGCTCAGTAGCTCGCTCAATTGCCTACAATGGCTTCTTCCTAAACCTTATTATACCTATGCCCATTACTCCACCACAGATTATAAAGAGAAAGCGAGGTTTAACTGTCGCATCATTCTCCACTCCGCACAGTAATGAGACGAACAAATCTATGGAAGAAATGGTTCCAATTGTTTCAAGGAGGCGAGTGCTTAATTTATCCATTTTAACGGTCTTATTGTGGGACCGTTTCTCAAGCTTCGCTTTGGCCATTGATGGTGAGGTGTTAGAGCTTGAAAGATACACTGATTCTGCTCAAGGTTTCACTCTCCTCAGACCTTCTTCTTGGATTAAGGTCCATCCCCCTTTCTTTGCCCCTATTTCTTCCAAATACACCCTCTGTTTCAATTCATATGGTATATTTTGACTCAGCACGAAGATTAAAAAGGAAATGAACTTATGTCCCCATTAAAATTATTTTCTTAATCACCTCATAAACAATTCATTTGTCTAGCAAATTCTTCTTATGTCATCTTTGACTATGTGTATTTTAGTTATTGCATAGTCTAATAGGTAAGATTAGCCTTGTTGGATTTGTTGTAGTCATAACAAAAATGTTAAGGGTAAGTGCACATATAGCCATTTTCAGGGTTGCCCCTACCCGAAAGGGCAGAGGGATTGTTTCCAATCGACCCTCGGCTCAGGAAAAAAGAAACAATAAAAGAAAAGAAAAAAAAGGAAAAAGAGAAAGAAAAAGAAAAGGAAAAGGAAAAACAAAAAGAAAAACAAAAGAGTATTAGTGACTCCAGCAGAAATCGCATAAATAATTATCTAAACATAAAACCATAAATTAAATGCCATGCAATAATATCGACCAGTAACTACCAGAAGGGAGCACAATACACTACGCAAGTCATCTATGGAGAGCCCTACCAAACCCCACCTAGCCCCGGGAATGAAGTACGAAAAGTTCTAGAAGCCCCTATCCTACAATCCTGATACTAGACCTCCAGACTTTCCTATCAAGGGCCATGTCCTCGGAAATCCGCATTCTTGCCATGTCCTGCCTAATCACCTCTCCCCAATACTTCTTAGGCCTCCCTCTGCCTCGACTCGAGCCAACCACCGCCAGCCGCTCACAACTCCTCACCGGGGCATCAGGGCTTCTCCTCCGCACATGCCCGAACCACCTGAGCCTCGCTTCCCATCTTCTCATCCACTGGGGCCACCCCCACCTTCTCCCGAATAACTTCGTTCTTAATCTTATCTAACTTGGTGCGCCCGCACATCCACCTGAGCATCCTCATCTCCGCAACCTTCACTCTCTGAACATGAGAGTTCTTAACCGGCCAGCACTCCGCCCCATACAACATGGCAAGTCTAACCACAGCTCTATAAAACTTCCCCTTGAGTTTCTGTGGCACTTTCTTGTCACACAAGACTCCTGATGCAAGCCTCCATTTCGTCCACCCCGCCCCTATACGGTGAGTGACATCCTCGTCGATCTCTCCGTCCCCCTGAATCACCGACCCAAGATATTTGAAACTGGTGTCATTTCTAAAAAATGTTATCATGGCTGATATTGGACAATTCTTACTCTATCATGTACACACACAACGGAAAGGAAAAAAGTACTCTCCTATTCTTATCAAAGAGAAGGAACGAGGAAAACCAAAATATTCCTACTCAAACAAGTCAGTGGCGGAGCTAGAAATTGAATTTATATAAAGGAATTCAAAAAATACTAGAATGTCATAGTTAACATTTGAACTTGCAACCTAAAGCAACTTCTGCACCCCTATAATAGAATTTTACCATATGTAGGGTGTTACAACAGTTTATATATAACCAATTTTTTTTACCATATTTGTACAGTATAATTTTTCAACGAAAAGGGATTCAATTGAACTTCCTTTCCTCTTGCTAGCTCCGCCATCAAAGTTATACCATATGAGGAGGTTTTGGAAACTGATTGTGCTGTTATTGGGTTCTTTAGGTTGATAAAGCTGGGGCAACTGTCCTGTTTCAGGATGTAAACAAGGGATCCAACAATGTAGGCGTTGTGGTTATCCCTGTAAAAATAACAAACCTTAGCCAATTCGGGACTCCACAATTCGTGGCAGATAAGCTAATTCTGGCTGAAAAGCGCAAGGTCAGAATCCTTTTACTTTTGCTGTTCTTCTCTTTCTGTTTCTGTTTTGTTGTTGATTCGTAATTCCATTTTACTAATGAGGGATTATTCAACCAGATTTTGTTGGTTTTTAACCAAGTACTTGGGTAGAACTCAAAAGGTAGGAGTATTGATTAGGTCGAAAGTCTAGTGGTTATTGTTCACATATTTTGTTCTCGTAATCTCCATTTCCTTAGCAATGTCATTTTCTGTGGGCAAAATATTTGTATGTAGTAGAGAAGCTCGCCCTCTAACTATAAAAGTTTTATCACTCTCTTAAACAATAAAGAAGAGAAAGCCATCTTATGTAAATCTGTTGCGAATCGCAGTTGTGGGGGGACACCGTGTAATCCACTTGTGAATCTAAAGAAGGGTAAAGGAGGAGTCCTGTCAGCAAGTGAGATTTTTAAGTTTGGGATTTGATAGAAAGATGTAAAGGTTATACTGTAGATCCTACCGGAAAAGAATAATAAAAATATAAATTTATTTCAAATCACTGGAGAAGTAGAATTTGCAAAAAGGTAACATGGGTTGAGTGCTACAATGCGTATTAATTCCCCATCCCTATTTCTTAAATTTTTATCCATGAATGTTGGAAAATTTGGCTGTTGTAAAGGACAGTCCAGTGCACTAAGCTCCTGCTATGTGTGAGATATGAGGAAGGGCTGGACCATATTGGGTCTTATGTACGCAACATTGGGTCTTATATACGCAACCTTACCTTGCATTGTTGCAACAGGTTGTTTCCGTGGCTTGTACTCGTGCCTCCTGGCTACATGGGAGCTTATCCACAGTTTTGGCTTTTGTGCCCAACATTATTGGCAACTAATAATACTATGTCGTCTTACTCTTAGGAGAGTACAAAGGAGGCTGAGGTGGTTGCAGTATCAGAAAGAGCGGGAGAAGGAGGTCTTCAAGTGTATGAGTTTGAGTACAAGATTGATAGCACCAGAGGAGGGATGAAGAGGATATTGTCTGCTGCATTTGTAGCGTCTGGGAAGCTCTATCTGTTAAACATTGCACACTCTGATGGATTAGAAAGTCCTATCGACCCAGTTAGAAGAAATACGTTGGAACAGATTTTACATTCCTTTGATACTGCTCCTTCGACTTAAATAGACATGAGCTCAAATTTTTTTCTCACTAGGCTTTGCCCTGCATATTCTCTGCTGGGATCAAAACCAAAAGGTATGCTACCAGGTTTTCATTTTGAGTCCTGTTTTGTAATTTGCTTACTTAATAGTGACTAACCTGATTATCTTTAATGCGAGCCTCACATGCGTCTGGATGTGTAACGTTGTCTTTGTGTGACGAGAGAACCTCTTAATTAGCTACTTACTTTTCTGTTTTACATGGAAGTTCCCATGTATAAAGGTAGTAAACCCCTGTTTGTGGACTGGCAAAATTGGCTGGTTCTTGAACTCTAGTGGCGACGGCAAAATTGTCTCTGTGTGACCTATATAGGTCACGGGGTTCGAGCCGTGGAATCAGCCACTAATCTTGCATCATGGTAGGCTGCGTACATCACACCCCTTGGGTTGCGGTCCTTCTCCGGACCCTGCGTGAATGGGGGATACTTCGTGCACCAGGCTGCCCTTGAACTCTAGTTGCTGGTGTTGATTAGTGATTCTTTCTTGGTCTGCAAAATTAAGCGGTCAAACATAAAACTTTTACCCATCTATTAATCTGCTAATGGACCATATCATGCGTGTGTCAAACTTACTCATTTGAAATATGTAATACAATCTTACTAATTTGGATCAGTTATGTTTTAAAGTCTAGCCGAAGTTTTAGGGTAGACATGTTTTCAAATCTTTGGAACTCGTCAAAGTGGCATCACAACTGTCTCCAAGTGTTAGGTTTTATTGAGCTGTAAGAGTATTCCAATAAATTAAGTACCACAATCCGAAATATATGGTGTTAGCTACATAACTTATGTATGCATTCCATTCTATTCAGGTCCATTTCATTCTAATACTAAATATATGTCTTTTAAGGCAAAGTAGGTGTTCTTTAAAACCATAAAATTCTCCAAATCTCACACTTATCCCTAATCTATAGGTGACCGTCTTTGCCAACCAAACTGATATATACAAGCCAGCACAGATACACATTTGCAATGTATGTACGCATACGAAAATCAGCTTGTAAAAGTCATTCATTGTGTATTTTATCCAGATATATGCAGTTTTAGAATTACAAGGAACATTGTAACCAACCCCCCCCCCCCCCCGGGTTACTGATTTCATCATTCTTTTCAGTTTTTACTGCGTTCAAATTCGGTGTTGCTCTCCTGCTCACAGTTGAAGCAATCTCTCCTAAAAAAAACTTATTTCTATTTTAGAACTTTTCTAGCATCCCATATACAGTTTGTTCCTTGTCATGTGATCGGCTCCGCAGAAACTTATGTTACTGTTAATCAGCCACTATTGGCTGAGGCTTTATGGTGTCAACATGATAATGACATTCTGGGATGATGAAAAGTTAGCTAAATGGAACTTATTTTTGTAATTGAGATTTTTGAGCTTTCTTATGCCTTAGTAAGAACTTCCTAAGGTCTGCTGAGGAGGTTGAGCCATCTTTCTTAGTTCAGAAAGGAAGTTGGATTATAGACCTTGGCACTAGTCTTGGATAGTGAGTCTCACATATTTGGTTCATGGGATCAAAGGCCTAATTGTTGAAAATGCAATTGCATAGTTGGCATTCAAAGGTGTGGCTTAGTGATCAATGAAGTGGGTGCAAACCTAGGAAATCATGGTTCAAATCACAGCAGAGTCAAAAAACACTAGGTAATTTCTTCCGATTTGCATAAAACTTGGTGAACAAAATTATCCAGTACCTATGATGGTGGCAAGTAGCAAGTACTCGATGAAAAGTCGACTTACGTGTAAGTTGGTCCAGATATTACAGATATCCACAGTGTTGAGCTTGTGCCGAGTAAGATAGGGATTAAGTCCATTCCCGGAACTTTATTTCTTAAACTTCTGGTCTTCTAAGGGTGTTTTGTTTCGCTTAATCATATACAGAGTGAAGACATTCAGTTAGAGCTTGAATGTGGTGCTAGATTATTTAGCATAAATGGTAATCATGCCAGATTATTACTACGTATATGCTACAGTCGAGCTCCATCAGTGCTTTAGCAAAGATTCTCCTAACTGTTTTACAATCTTGATTTGAGATAATTTTCTGATGCATCTTTTAACAATCGAAATGACAATTAATCTCGATGTGTTTGGTTCTTTTGAAATACTGGATTAGAAACAACATGAAGAGCAATTGATTTTAACAACATAACTTGCAGTTGGAGCAAAGACCATTAGTTCAACGTAGATTGTGCCATAGCTCTGTATTTGATTTAACACTAGATTGAGAGACTATGCTTTGTAACACAAAATACCTCCAACAGAAACACAGTATCTAGAAGTCGATCTCCTTCGACTTAAAACTCTATCTGAATGTTCATAACATCTGTTCCAAAGTTTCCCATTTATTTAGTACTTGGTGAGAGAGAATTTGATTTACTACACTGACCGGCTATGTAATGTTAGGAAGATCGCTGTAAGATTTTATTGGTGAAATTTTATCAGAACAGGTCGACCAAAACAATAAAAACAAAAATTAAAATTAATTCCAACAGTAGGAAGGCAGAGTAAGTGCTCAATAGAGAACTAACTCTATCCTCAACACACCATATTTTGGTGGTCGAGTGGGACAGGATGTAGAGGGTTGACCATTTGGCTGGAGAATCCGGCCCAACTGACACACGCTACACCGACAATGTAAAGTAAATCCGTCGGAAAGCTCAAATAGCTAATTGTCAACTAACTAGAATGTTAACATTCATTAGTGACCAACCACTGAATCTACAGTTGGAGAGAAGCGTATACGATAGTATCAAATTGAAATGTGAAGTATTCATCAACCAAAGTGAAATGTCCTCCGAATGAATGCAATGTTGAACAAGTATAGCACCTACAAGTATTTAGTCCATCCTTCCCTTCAAGATCTTCTCTGTCACTTCAGTTGGTGTACTGCAACCACACACAGATTGGACCAAATAAGATGGGAGTACCGAAAAAAGATTACTCACTTCAACTAAGGACCAAATAACATGAAAGAAAAAGCAAAAAGGAAGGAAAATCAGAGAGATGCATAAAGAGCGTATGTTAAAGTTTAGTACTCTACTTGGAGCTGGAAAATGCCTCACATAAAGAGTTAATGGCAACCAAAGTCCTTGATCTTTCCAAAAATAGAAGTGCAATAACAATCCCTTACAGCTCACGCTTTGGGGGAGAACTTCCACATGCAACAACTACAAAAGGTAATAACTATTGCCTCCAACCAACCATCCCTCTGCCAAGACCCTTCTCTCTGCTATTGCTTAGGCCCCCAGCTTGTCATCTTCCACAACCCAGTTCTCCCCGTTCCTAAGCCTCAAGTAAGAACCCATGTCTCCAACATTTGAATGGCGATCATTTCATCACTCTCACCCAGCCACCTCCCCATGCCCAATAATGCCACCATACTTTAGGCTCATCTTTTTCTGTTTCTGTTTTTAGGAGGGCATTTTCCCAAAATTACCTAATCCTCTAAACATGTTGGGCACACAGTTCCTTGTTGCCTTAAAGACCAACATCTAGAACATAATACATGATGGGTGATTATCATAGAGTAATTTTGTTTCGTTCAGGGACTCGGGCAGATATTACTAAGGAGAAATGATTAATAAAATGAGCATATGAAAGCAACTGAATACTTACACAACATAAACATGTCCTCCCCAACCACTTAAACAGTCACGGTCAACTGATGACAAAAGTGCCTGAGAGATGGTCTCAAACAATTCTTCTGGTCCCTGAATGTTACCATGCAATAAAAAGCCTCAAAGCCAATAAAAATGTGAAATAAATGCATGGCAAACAACATAAACATGGCAAAGAAGTAACAGAGAGAAAAATTCTAAAGCATACACATGTAATGTTGGATAGGAAGATCTGAACCTCGAGAGAAACTTAAATACCTGCTCTAACAGTTAATGTGAATAAAGTTCATCTTATTCATTTTGTTTATTAGTCAAAGATCGTTTCAGTAACAACACACCAAGCTGGTGTCAGAAACTATTTTAAAGCGAGTGAGCGGCTCAACCACCATACTCCATCTGGCTATCCCCATCATATATACACACACTGCGTTGCTTCCTCTACAACAAAAAGAATATGTGATATGAAATAAAAACTTCTTCCCACTACTACGACTTAACCTCTTGCTCTCTTCCAAATAGACCAAAAAATGCATGGTGGTTTACTTTTTTCCCATGTTGCCTTGTTCTCCTAGTGAATCCTCTGTGGTTTCTACAGGTGATATCTTTGCTCCCTAATAAGCATCATCAAAGTCAGATCAACTAAAAAAGTGTAAGATTCCACAATTATGTTGTGAACTGACAACATAAAAAGATGTGATTTTGTATCCTTACACCACTCCTTACACTAAAAACACCAATGCAGATCTAATAAAACTGATTTTTCACCCATAAAGCGGCATCCGCTAGAAAGAGTAATTCGTCAAACCTGCCGGCAATTTTACTAAATCGACACAGAACAGTGACTAAAAAGACTCCACGTTCATGTATACCAAATACACTAATTCTCAGGCACCAGCTGAAATAAGCATTAAATAAAAGCAGCCTCAGCAACTCTAGGATGATTATCTCCATTAGGGAAGGAAAATTTGATGTGATATATGTCATTCAAGCTAGAGATTATGTAACTATAAAAATAAAAGCAAGAACCGTAACAAACCATGTCAGGTTTGAACATGGCCTCACAGGCACCATATAGTGATTCAGATGCAGTGCCAGCAACAACAAAATCTTTTGCAAGCTCCCTGCACGAGAAGAATAAATAACAATACTGTAAGCATGCAAAGCCACAGAGAACCTGGCAGAGTACATAAGTCTCCAAATTTCAAACATGAACCAGTAGGAAGAAACTCAACGTACTTTGCTCCAATAGCATCCATTGTGCAAATAAAAGGCTTGTCATCATCTCCTAATCCAGCAATTACAGGTTGGCAAAAGTATGGACCAAACCTAGACAAACCAAATGGATAACGTAGTTATTACAAGTGGAAGAAGCATCAATTATGGATGCCCAACCAAACAACCCAGACACGAATTTTGATAGGTTTTCTCCAACTAAACAGCTACTTGGAGTGATAAATTGTCATCAACAACAACAACAACAACAACTACCCAGTATAGTCCCACAAAGTGGGGTCTGGGGAGGGTAATACGTACATTGGCCTTACCCCTACCCGAAAGGGCAGAGAGGCTGTTTCCAATCGACCCTCGGCTCAGGAGAAAGAGAAGAGAAAGAGGAGGAAAAAGAAAAAACGAAAAGCAAAAGAGCATTAGTGACTCCAGCAGAAATCGCATAAATAGTCAACTAAACATAAAACCATAAATTAAAAGGCATGCTATAATACCTACCGGTAACTACCATAAGGGGGCACGATACAATACGCAAGTCATCTATGGAGGGTCCTACCAAACCCCACCTAGCCCCGGGAATGAAGTACGAAAAGCTCTAGAAGCCCCTATCCTATAACCCTTATACTAGACCTCCAGACTTTCCTATCAAGGGCCATGTCCTCGGAAATCCGCATTTTTGCCATGTCCTGCCTAATCACCTCTCCCTAATACTTCTTAGGCCTCCCTCTGCCTCGCCTCGCGCCAACCACCGCCAGCCGCTCACAACTCTTCACCGGGGCATCAGGGCTTCTCCTCCGCACATGCCCGAACCACCTGAGCCTCGCTTCCCGCATCTTCTCATCCACTGGGGCCACCCCCACCTTGTCCCGAATAACTTCATTCTTAATCTTATCTAACCTGGTGTGCCCGCACATCCACCTGAGCATCCTCATCTCCGCAACCTTCACTCTCTGAACATGAGGGTTCTTAACCGGCCAGCCCTCCGCCCCATACAACATGGCAGGTCTAACCACAGCTCTATAAAACTTCCCCTTGAGTTTCGGTGGCACTTTCTTGTCACACAAGACTCCTGATGCAAGCCTCCATTTCGTCCACCCCGCCCCAATACGGTGAGTGACATCCTCGTCGATCTCTCCGTCCCCCTAAATCACCGACCCGAGATATTTGAAACTGTCCCTCTTGGGGATGACCTGAGCTCCAAGCTTCACGTCCCTGCCTACTTCGCTCGACTCGGCGCTAAACTTGCACTCCATGTATTCTGTCTTAGACCTGCTTAGTTTGAAACCCTTAAACTCGAGAGCCTGTCTCCAGACCTCCAACCTCTCGTTAACACCGACCCTCGTCTCGTCTATCAGGACTATGTCATCAGCAAATAGCATACACCAAGGCACATCCCCTTGACAAATAACTTCATTCTTAATCTTATCTAAATTGTCATCAAGCTTGTTAATTGCAAATGCTAAGATTAGGCTCGATGAATTTTTGAGCTAAATATGAACAACAAGATGTTCGACAAGGAAGTTCGAGAGCTCGGCTTGATTTTTAATTTGTCACTTAATATGGACTGTACCTGTATATTCATTGTGTGTGATATTTCACATGTCTGCATGAGGGGATTGCCAAGAAATATTCACAAATTCTGGGGTTAGACTTCTGTTATAATTCAATAGGAAAAATTATTGGAAAGTAAGAACATGTCATCCAGTGTGTTTTTTTTACCCAAATTAGAATCTGATTCTTCTTTTCTTCTAGGTACATCCTCCTATCTCGAGTAACCTTTGTATACGATTTAGGAAACATGTTCACACTAAAGAGTCCTTTTTTCTCTCCTCTGATTTGTTGCTAATCATTCTTCACATCTCTCTCTTTTCTTTAATCTAATAGATGATAGATCTCAGATCTAGTCTATTAAATGGCAAACGATGTCTCGCCCCACTCAAGAGCTAAAGTCAACTTAAAACTAAGATCTAATGGATTATTTGCAGGTAAATTGAGAGTTCAAACTTCTGTGATAAAAACCAAGCATTCGTTCGCGTTGTATTTGACCTTGACTTTCAAAGTTGGTACATACATTTGACTCAACCAAAAAAATTTGGAGCTCCGCTTGGCTTAATTGGATTACAGCTAAGAGAAAGACTGGGGCCAACAAAGATTTAAAAGAATCAGAAAATAAATAACACTGTGCTGGGACCAGATATTTTCATCACCTATCTACTCAAATCTAGACTAAAAACAAGATACAACAAGATATGAAGAACCATACATACAACAACAACAACAACATACCCAGTATATTCCCACAAGTGGGGTGTCGGGAGGGTAGTATGTTTACACACCTTATCCCTAACTTGTGAAGTTAGAGAGGCTGTTTCCGGAAGATCCTCGGCTATGAAGAACAATACATTTCACAGCTTTAAATGTGCTTCAATGACTTGCAACTTATTTCAGGTTATTTTCCTCCGACATATTTCAGGAAGTATTGTACACACCAAGAGGTATTATGACTCTACAACTAGGTTCCAGAGATATCTCAGAACTAAGCGGACAGATAGATTATGCAATAATGTAAGTGTACAATAGCACTTTACTGCTAGTCTGCTACTCAACTCCCCATAACGACGTCCTTGTAAACAAAGCTAAAGATAAAGATTAAATGACTTACCAAGACTATAATCAGCACATTGACTACTAAAGAAACAACATAACATTAGGATATATATTTCTTCATATGTTGTATTGGCAGGAATTGGTTACATTAAAAGTGGGAATCCAGCAGCTCAAGCTCCGCCATGGGAGGCAAAATGGGATCATCAAAAACCCTTGACTAAGGAGTTTCCACTTTCCAATATGCAATTGGTAGGGAACATGAAACAAGTTAAAATGAGGGCTGTTTTTTTCCCCTTTTGCCAACAACAGTTCGTTTTTACTTAATCAAAGGAATAAAATTCAGGAATCCTATAAAATTATGTGGCATACTGAAGTCCTTCACCAGCAAAAATTTGTTAAAGATAAGATAGGCATATTAAAGAGAACTTCCTATACAATTGCAAACATCTATAAAAACAAATATATTTGTATGTTGGTTTGGTTCAGTTTTTTGTTGGTCAGTACCAAAATAAATCAAACAAAATACACGCCAGTTTTCTAAGTCAGTTTGATACAATTTTTCAGTCTGGTTTGGTCTTGCGGTTTTCCTTGAATTGAACACCACTAACCGTGAGTAATCTTCAGGAAGTAAACGTCAACATTGCCACAGAACAAATAGCTAGTTTACCAACCTTTTCTCATAAAGAATAGCAGATACAAGGCTGGAAAAAGTTTCAGGCTTCATATCTCTCTCTTCTCTAAGCTGATATAGCTTGTGACGGAAGACGAGCCTTTGATACCTAAAGAAACCGTAATCAAAAGAACATATCAGTGTACAAAATCCAAACAAATCAACCTAATAAACAGATTTTGATGCACTCCCTCACCATCCCACAATCAACAAGAAAGCAGCACCAAATAAGGAACAAAAAACACAGTTCCACCCTTTATTTCGCACTCCCCACATCCCCAACCTGCAGGAAGCATCTTAGTCAGTTATCACTAACTCCAAGCTCCAGTCAACTTCCATGCTTAACATTTCTACAGCAATACAATTTTCTAAATTTTTTTTATAACCGTGGTGTCTGGGCCAGCTCTCGCGCACCTCGATAATTTTCTAAATCTTTTTTGGACGATGGTGGTGTCTGGGCTAGCTTGACATGCACATCAACTATTTCACGGGTACCTGCTACCTCCCAATAGCATAGGTACCAGGTAATGTGGCCCACATTTTAAGCAGATTGAAAGAAATCACCTAGTATTTTTGACTCTGCAAGATTTAAACCTGAGACCTCATGGTTCTCTTTACCCTTCATTGAATTGAACACTAAGCCACCCCCTTGGATGCCAAAAAAAATGTTCTTTTTATTGACAATATTGGTGTTTGGGCAGCTTATGCGCACCTACTATCTCCCACCAAGTAAAGGTACCGAGTAACACTGCTGATCAAGGCTTAGGCAGATCACAGATGAAAAGAAATCACTTATAGTAATAGTTTTTCTTTTAATGCTAGGATTTAAACTCTAAAGAATGTTGCAAACGCCCAATCCAATTAGCAAGGAAGAAAAAATAGTAAGAAAAATACTCAATAGAAGAGAGGAATTGGAAATTACAGGGTTTGGACATCAGTACCGAGGCCAGAAAGGCCAATAAAAAGCTTGTCATGTATTTTAAAAATTCTTTGGAAATCAGTAGCAATCGTTTGCAGCTGTACACCAAGCCGCCGGTCACTGGCAATAGCGAAACAGTTTTTCCCAACCATAGCCACTAAAGCACTTCCATTGTACTCGAATATCTGTTCATAAATTTACCAAATTTCAGAAAAACAGTATTATAATTTTCATATTCTATGCATATAAGAGCTAGGTTTACAACAGTTATTAAGCATAAAATTAAGCATTTGTGCACATCAGATGAAGAAAAAAAAGAAGAACTTACCGACATCGGAAACTGATTAGAAAAACGATTCGATATTTTCCGGTAAACTTTGATGATGAAGAGAGTGTGTTTTGGTGTCTTGGAGAACACCTTTAATTGCAGGACCTTATATTGAATCTTTTTGCAATATTCAATATGGAGGGATGAAGAGGATTTATTTTATTTTGTATCTTTTTCTTTTATTTGTTATTTCATTTTCTAGTTTTAGCATTACTTTTTAAAATCAAAATTGCCAATTCTCAATGTAAGTTGTAATATTTATTTTGTAAATACATAATTATCTTTAATATATTAACCATTTTTTTTATCTTTCGATCGCTTGGAGAGACGAAAAAGAAGGTGTTATTTGTACATCAAGACCCTTTACAATTTTGAATTTAAGAAAATGACCTTTTTAGATCTCTTATGTGTAAAAGACAGATCTCTTACGTGTAAAAATAAATCTCTCCTGTGTAAAAAAAAGAGGTAGGGTCATAAAGCTAAAAACAAGTTTGCAAATAGCTAAAAAACTAATTACTCCCCCCAAAAGAAAAAAAATTATTTTTTCTTCAATAATTTCTAATCTCTAATGAACCTCTCAGTAGGATTCGAACCAAGATGAAGTTCTGACCATCTAATCAGAGATAAAAGGACGAGTAGATTTTGTAGGATTCCCAAGAAATTCTTCAACTTCTTTGGGAAACAGATGATTAGTCATCTGCTTCTCACGTTTCGTGACTAGCCGGTGTTTGACCAAAAGATGTCAAAACCTTTTTGATTAAAACAATTTATGATAATGATGAGGTCAATCTTAGTCAAGCACAATAAAATCTAGATCAAGTGATGGAGGGGGTTAGCAAGATGAAATATGTAACAAATATGTTAAAACCAAATAAATGCTCATAAATGAGAAAACTTAAATGCACAATGAAACCTTAATTGGTGAAATAGATGTAGGGGGAATAAGTGTAAGATGATTGGGGAATCTTAGCATCTTCTCGGATGAACAAGATTTTTTTTTGGTATTCCCTCTAGATAATACTTTTACAAAGTGTTCTTTTGTCCTCTTTTTTCCGTCCCCCTTTTTCTTCACTCACTCTTCCTATTTATAAGGGAAATCTCCCAAGAAACCCTAAAAAGTACCACATTGAGAATATTCGAAAGGCATATTCTTATTGTCTCCTACTAAGTTAACATTATTGTGGACGCCACGCGTCGACTGACCGCCCTTGGTCACGACCTTTCGCCACGACGACCATCAGACAATACATCATGGTAACCTCATTCCTCGTCCTAGTAACGGTCGTGGTTGCCAAATTTGAACCCATACAGTTAGTCCATCCGCTTGTTGAGGTCGCGGCCCTGTGCGTCCTTGATAAGCGGACGTCGCCCATACCCGCGGAGAAATTTGGCGGTTGGATCATGACAGTTTGATCAATAACGAAAGAGCGGTGCGTTCCATGGTATCCCAGATAGCATAGCCTATCGGGAAATGATGTCACTCCCACGTGCGTCATCATTACGCGTCTTCCCGAGACAGAGACCGATTGGCTTATCGCTTTGGTTTTGGTGCCACTTGCAGCCTTTTGCTTCAATTCTGGTGCAATCCAACCTTATAAACATATGAAGGTTTGGCTCTTTTGAGAACTTTTGGTCATTTCCTCTCTAGTGTATGTATTATCTTCTTTGGCCATCTCTTCTCGTATCTTCAGCTCTACTTTCGTGATTTTTCTTCTCACCTTCTTCCGTTTATCGTTCTTTGTTCTGTGTTTTATCAATATACCCTCTGCCATCGAGATGCCTAAAACACATCGTTGCCACGAAGAGATTTTCGACACCACCCCGCTTTCCATGGTACCTCCCCCTAGTGGTGAGGATATGGCACTAGAGGAAGGGGACAACCTTCCCACCGTGGAGAATATACTACCGAGAAACCCCATGTCTCGGAATGATTTTCTTAAAGAGCCTGTTCCTTCTCCTGCTCCGGTGATTTCTGAGACTAAGCAGGCCCAAATAGATGACCTTCGATCTACGTATAACATTCCCTCCCATGTTGAGATGGTTCCGGCTGGGAGGGACTTTGTAGATGTCCATAGACCGGGGTATTGTGCCTTTTACATTTACCCTTTTGTGATTGGCCACTCCTCCTCTTCTTCTGTTAGCGGAGGAATTCTGTCTGTTTTATGAGGTTTGCCCGGCGCAACTTTCTACATACACGTACAAGATATTTTTGGTATTGACGAAGTACACGGGTGTGAAGTTGGCCTCATCACCTTCTACATTTGTTTTCCCCTAGTTTTCACAGGGGAACTATGATACATTTGAGGCACCGTGGGACCAGGGGGCTAGTGGTCGGAACGGATAATCGGGCAAGCCGCAGATTTTGGCATAAATACTTCTTTGTTAGAACTGAGCATATGGTGTCGGACCCTGCTGGATTCCCAGAACGGTGGAATCATAACCGTAGGTGTTGGTACTTGTAGTTTACTTTTGTTCTTTCCAACTTTGTACTTATTTGTAACTTTCCCATGCAGTTGTGAGGCGTACACCTTGTCCCATCACCGGTATCGAGGACTAGGTAGCCCGCTTATTACCTCACGCGGTGGAAACTCGGGATTGACCCACTTTCATGAAATGCTTTGGGCCGAAGGTTCCATCTGGTAAATGTTTTTCTGTTTTGACCTTTCCTGTTTGCCGCCGTTTATTGATACGACTCCCTATGATGACATGTCGTAGGGCTTCCTAGAAGAAGGCCCCAGTCCCTGCATTTCGCCAGGTCGTCGCATCAACGGGGATGCAATTTAGCTTGGCTGAGTCCATCTGAGGGGGCCGTGCTTAGCCCGTACAGGCTAGAGACTCCTCTCGTGACATGATTGTTCGGGATGAGATCTCCTCCCGAGCAGTCTATCACCTTGTGGACGAGCCCTCCAATAGGGATGAATCTCCGTCGAGAAAAATGAGGAGGGTATAACTCGGGAAGAAAGTTGCCACTGATACTGGAAAGAGCAGAACTGGTGCGTCGGAGACGGCACCGGTGCCTGTTATTATGGCAGATGCCATTTTGGCAGGAAGGTCTCCCCGGATCGAAGGAATATACCAAGGAGGGTTTCTGCGTGCTCTGTCGAGGGTGCGCATTGTCTGCCATTGGAGGCGTCGTGCACGCCGAGGGCGACGGTCCGGGTTCGGACGTCGACCCAGAAGATGTACGAGATTTCTTGGAACGTCATACTCGTGTAGAAGTAAGAACAGAGGGTTCCGATCGACATATTGTCGTTCTTGGAGACTACGACTTGTTGTCGAACAGTGAGCATGCAGCGTCGGTGTTTACCCCCTTATGCGCTGCTTCTGAGAGTGCGACACTTAAGGCGATGAGCGACGCAAAGTTGTCACGGAGCATTTCCGGCATGGCTCTACGGGTAGATGCTTCGTTCTTTTCTTCTAGTTTTTGGTTTTGTTTTGTATCCTCGGCTCATTCTTTGCTTTGACTTTGCTTTTCATACTAGACCCTCATCATGGAGATCGGGCGTGAACGTAGGGATAGGCGGAGGACGGCCATCTATGGGAGATGACCACTAAATATCAAGAATACCGCACCAAGAATTGTGCATTGGCCGGCCTCTTTACTCAGGACAACGACTTTCAGCTGTTCTACGATTGGCTTAAGCAGAAAGAGAATCAATTGGCGCAGAAGGTCGAAGAGCTGAAAGAGCGAGATGAGAACCTGATGAAGGCCATTGCCCGTTGCAGTGAACTTGAGTCGGCTCTAAGGCCAAGGAAGATGAGCTCGAGTTGAGTAAGGGGGTGATGGCCGAGAATGCCGACCTCTAAGCGAAGGTGGCCAACTTGGTTACCGAGCTTGACAGGAAAGTGGCGGAGGTCGTCGACCTTAAATACGAGCTGAGTGCGAGTGCTGATGGATTGGCTCATACCGAAAGGGATAGGGAAGCTGCCGTCTCTGAGGCATCGGCTAGAGGACGCCCTTCGTGTTTGCAGATCAGAACGGGACAAGGAGGTGGAGATATCTGTGCTTAAGGTGGCGAGATTTGAAGGACGTATCCGAGATCTGGAGGCGGAGTTGTCTGCATTAAATGAACAAGTTGCTTCTTCAAATGCGAAGGACGTGCGACGACAGTCGCAGCCCTCTACATCCCATTCTTCGGCCGACCCTGTCGTTCCTCGAGAATTATATGAGCTATGGGTTCATGCCGAAGCCCAGCTTGACGTATATAAGTCTCTTCACGCTGATGGGAGAATATCTGAGGCAGAACTCTGAGAGGTGCGTATTAAAGCACGTGCCGCTCAAGAGGCGTGTGGTTATGACCCCGGCACGCCTGGTGGAGACAATGTCGATTTCCATGATGCGGACAAGCTTGCCTCCGATTCTTGGTACAATGAGGAATATGCCACGGGGGTGATGTGGCATAGGACTTGGTTGTATTTATTTTGCTTTGCCATTTTTGTGGGGGCGTTCTTGAGCCCTTTGTAAAAACTTTTGTAATATAACAACTGTAATGGAATAGTTACTTTTTATTGTGTACCTCTGAATTGTTCTCTTGTTGTGTTTTGCGTTTTTTATCTGGTGACGACCCTTGTCACAGTCGTGCTTGCTTCGAGTTGTCAAAATGTTGGCCCGTTGCGTTTCGGGCGAGGTCAAGCCCCTGTCTTCGGCGTCGGCTTTTGCCGTAAGGGTGTTGTTTCAAGTTAATGTCAAACTTTTTTCTTTGGTAACGGCCTTAGCCATAGGGATGTTACTTTCGAGCTGATGTCGAAGTGTTATCTCGTCATGGTTCGAGTGATGTCGAACTCTTTTCTTTAATATTGGCCTTAGCCATAGGGATGTTACTTTTGAGCTGATGTTGAAGTGTTATCCCATCGTGGTTTGAGTGATGTCGAACTCTTTTCTTTAATATTGGTCTTAGCCATGGGGTGTTATTTTGACTGTGTTGAAATGTTAACCCGTCGTGGTTCGAATGGTATCGAACTCTTCTTGTGGAGATGGCATTGGCCGTGGGGTGTTATTTCGACTGTGTCGAAATGTTAACCCATCGTGGTTCGAATGGTATCAAACTCTTCCTATGGCGATGGCCTTGGCTGTGGGGTGTTATTTCGACTATGTCAAAATGTTAACCCGTCGTGGTTCGAATGGTATCGAACT